ATAATAAATAAGGCGATATTTATAAGATCTCAGATTAAACAAAACGCGCGAATCTTGAACTAAGATAAACTTTAAGGTTTATGACAAATTGAAGAATTTTGATGAGAATGTCAAATGAGTTATGAGAATTGTAGTCATCTACAATTCACTCTCTTTTTGATTTCTGAGGACAATTTTAAAGCAATGTGACTAGAAGTCAGGAGAACTAAAGGTGAGTTCTAAGGTAGTTCTGTAGATGCTACACACTAATCCAGGCCTGCACTGTTCGGTAATTTTTAAACTAAGGTAAGGTAAGTGGTAAAAGTTTAAACATAAGAGAAAAATTTAAAAAAATAGAAAATTTATTCCGAATTTCTAAACTCTTTGTTCAGTTAACCCCATTTAATGATAAAAAAAATGTCGGTTAGGACCGATTTCTTACGTGTAACGGAACATAATTTTAAATTTTACTGACTTGTTCAGCTGTTTATAATCCCGGTAATATTCTACCAACTTCAGTGTGATTATTAGAGTTTTGAGTAGAATTCCAGGGAATTCTAAAGCAATTCTGAAGGAATCCTGACAAACTTAATACAATTCTGACACCACCTTTAATAATCAATAAATTAACTTAACCCTAACTTAACCCTGACTTAATTCTGAAAATAATTTAAAAAAAAATCTTTGCAGAATGTAATGCTAACTTGAAGATAGTTTCATAGAACGTTCGGAGCGGTAGCTACTCGCAATAGGAAATTTTGAACATTATTACCAAAAAATATAGTGTTCCAGGAAATTCAAAAGAAACTTCCAATTTCAAGAAGAGTTGCATGAGAATTCCAAAGATAATTCCAAGAAAATTCCCAGAGTTTTTTCAACACCATTTTGAGAAGAATTAATTTCTAGGGAATTCTGAGGACATTTTGGAAGAATACTTTCCCCGTAAAATTTGTTTCACATCAGTCTTAAGTTTTTATGGAATAGATAATGGGAAGTTGACACAGATGATCAACAGATGAATATGAGAAAAAAATCTCGGCAGCAGGTGGGATTTGATCCCACAAATCTCATTCAGTAAACGGGCGCATTACAAATTTTACTACGGGTACCGATTGTACAAATTTTCAATTCGTGTTGATCATGTGTATCAGCTACTCAGTAAAAAATACTTGATAAAAATTAAATTGCGTAACAAATGTTGTACCAATGGTTGGAAAGAGACACTATTTATTTAAGCTCCACATGAACATTTATTTGGAGTACTTCGGCTTAAAAATCATTCTGTAAAGTTGTGTTGAAAGAATATTTTCTATGATTTTCAAATATTTCTATTTGTTTGAAAATATGCTCTTAACTTCAAAAAGAAAATTCCATCATAATAACCTTTACAACTAAATACATTATGGTCAGTACTGGCTCGAAAGTTCTAGTTTCAGACTGGTTAAAAGGTGTAATAGTTGGATGTTGGATGTAGCGAATTATCTTCATTGATTTTCAAGCGTCTGAGGGAAATGAGTCCCATATGATAAAATAGTTCTCCACCCTGGGGTCGTGCATTAAGGGGTTACGCCTACCTGCAAGACCGAAAAAAAGCGAAAGTTTGGATTTTTTTCTCGAAAACGACGCTACATATTGCAAATCGGTTTTCTGCCGTTTATTGAACACACATTAAATGGTACATTTATCAATCGATGCTGTAAAAACGAGGTCCTGGTGCCCCGCACGGCTGCTCCCCGTGGACGATGTTCTAAAAAACGCTTTTTGCGGTGCCAACTGCGGTTTGTGATGTAATCATCTGAAATAAAAAAAAAAAAACCATGCCAAATCGCTAAGCATGCGTTAAACTAGTCCTAGATCGTTCGGATTTTTTTTTTTTTTTTTTGACAAAATGGCGGCCTTGCAAAGTTGAAGTGCCGATTTTTTATCCTTAAAATTTGTCTTTGATCGGCTGTAAAAATCGAAATTAAATGATAGACGAAATCCGAACGATCGTGGACTGCACAAAATAGTACTGAACAGAAATCAAAACGAATCGGACGAATCGAATGTATACATTTCGACAAATTGTTGGCACCGGTTTTGAAAATATGATTCCGAGATAATCGCGTTTAAAGTTTCAAGTTGGGTTTAGTCCACTATAAGTGAATATTTTTGTACGTCGCATAACTTTCACAATTTTCATCGGATCAACTTGATCTTTTGAGGAAATATTCTTGACTTTATATACTTTCGATTAGGACAATAAAAAAAACGATTTTTTGAAAGTTTGCAGGTAGGCGTAACCCCTTAATTATGTTACGCAAAATTGAGGAAGTATTTACCACCCGTCCCCCTTTTCGTCACAGTTTACCTATACCTACCAACAAGTACATACATTTTAATGTTCAGGGAGTCAATAAGTTCGTGGAAGTTCTAAAAAGTTTTAGAGCTTTCAGGGTTGGTGGAGGTTTCAAAACACTTATGCTTTCAGAGAACTTTGGAAACGTTCTTAAAATGGACACTGCGTTCTTAAAAAATGAAAGTTTTAAATGATTTCTCGCATAACATTTGACAATGGCATGGTAACCAGCAAACCCCTCGAGCAATTTCTGGAGTTTTTCCCGTTTGTTTTCCGGATATGTAGAAATTTTACCGGTGATGCTATGTACATTTTAATTAAACATAATACCAAATGCGGTTGAGCCGAAGTTATCATAAGGTTAAATAGGTCATTACTAAGACTTTAGTAGTACTTTTCCTGAATTTTTAAATGTCTAACTTCCATGAAAATGCGTTCGAAGTACAGGATTTTACTGGATTGTTCTCAAGCATTTTTTTTTTAGAATCAAATCCCTTCACAGAGTTCTTTTCAGAAATCGTCTAAAATAAATTTGAAATTCCAGACCAGAAATACTCTAAAAAATCATCCTTAGTTTCTTTTCGAATTTTTAAGTTTTTTTAAAAGAATTCACTGAAGCTTCTTATTGTATTATTTAAACCGCATAAATTCTACTTAGAATTCCCATGCAATTCACCTCAGAATTGGTGAAAAATTTTGCTCAGAATAATATCGAAGTTCTCTGCTTAATTCTTCATAACATTCACTTGAAATTCTCCATAAAATTATCTAAAAACTCTTTTCGAGATGCCCTTTGAAAATCCTCGAAATTCTCTTAAAAATAATCGCAGAATTCATTGGGGATTATGCTCCCAAAACTCGATTCACGGATCTTGGAGTCCTTTTCCCAACTGCCATGCAGCTTCCCACAGAGTTACAAAACATTTTTACTCTGAACTCTCACAATTGACTTGGAGTTCTAGTCAAAATTTTCGCAGAGTTCGTTACGAAACATCTTCGGAAATTTACTCTGAAATTTCCCCTAATTTGGTTGGGGGATTCGATAATTCATTCGATAATCTCCTTAATTTTTTTAATAGTACTTTCAGGTGGTTTTATCCTGAACATCTAGTCCAGTATAATGATATTTAATTTTTCAAGGTCCAAATTTGTTTTTCAAAGTACATGTTACCCCGATCAGGGGTTGTTAATCGGTGACTTCGAATGCTCGGCTTTTTCCCGGATTTCCCGGTTCACTGGTCGTCCTGAAATGGCCTTTCAGCTTTTGTAAACTAAATTTGTAATACCCTTTTCGCACTAATCGAAGCCCTTCTATGCAAACCAACTACACCATCGTTTACCGTCCCCTTCCCGATAGCGTTGCTGGTTTGTGTAGGCGAGTTTCAATTCGCGCGAATAACGAATTATATGTTTTGTTTAAAAAAAAAACTGATAGGGCCTTTTCAAATGTTACGCGAGATTACGACAAATTGACGATTAAAATCAATTACAAAACCACTTCGGGGCTGTTAATAAACCACCTGGTGGGGGCGGGAGGAAAGAGGGTCTAAAATCTCTCATAAACTGTCGCGTAGTTTATGAACCTTATGTTTATTTGAAAGATCGGAATGGAATCTTCAAATAATTAAAATTTAAACTTAGTTGTATTCAGACTAAAGGCCCACCCACATTTGATCCGAATCTGACGCGTTGCTGAAAAGTAACAGCTAAATCTATTGCCTTACTGTCAAACGCCCAACGAGTCTGATGTGAGTGGCCCTTAGTGGATCTGATCCGCGCCAAATTTGCATCAGACCAAATTTGATATGCCAATCCGCGCCAAATCCACGAAAATCGCAAAATTCGGGTGTTAAAGCTTCAGATATGACGTCCACAAGTTTTCCAATTTATGTTTGCATTTTTCAGCAAGTTTTGAACAAAAATTAGAGCAGTGTAGGAGCTCAAGCGGTGAAAGGGCACCAGCCAGTATTTACTTCATAAAATTAACTATGCTCAATTTTACACAAGTATTTTTGAACAATTCAACGTCGAAGTCGTTGATAATTTTACGACTTCAACGACCTCGACTATGACGTGACTCAAATGCAGTTGCTGAATACAGGCGTAAAATATGTCTTTCGTAGAAAATTTCTGAGCCAAATTGCGTCTACTATTTACATTTATTACATCCCTACATTGCAAGATTTACTTTACTTGTCATTGTTTTCCCCCTTTGAATTCTTAATAGGTGCATGCAATTAGATACGATTGCAATCCATTATAACCAAACTGCTTGTAAATTGCTGGGACAGTTTACATTTCTACCTTTATGTGGACATAATACGTGATTATCGAGTTTAACAATACATTGATACATTGTAATGAACAAACAATCAACCGATATACTGCCACAATTGACGTAACAGTCCCATTTAGATAGGAAATCCACCGGATGTGGGACTGTTATGTGAATAGCGGCAGTATACACCAATGTAGGTTTTCTCATGTATATGAATGATGTCGATTTACGATTATCGAGCACAAATAGTAAACAACCTGTACGACGACCATAAAGTCTTAATAAACAAGATAAGATAAAACTGAATCTTTGTTTGTTTACCAATATACAAAATCCGAGGAAGCACATTATTAGCGCCAGCTAGAATAACAATACAACTCCGATTACTAGATTTTCCAAACTTACCAAACAACGAAGCAGCATCTAGCAGTGAGGCAGGATCCGGAACACCGGCTGCGCCTCCCAAGCCGGCTCCGGATTGCCCACCTTTCTTGTCGCCACCCTTCTTGTCACCATCCTTGTCCATTTTCCCTATCTTGACACAGGTGTGTGTGCGCGCCGACGACAACGGTGCCGACGACGACGACGACAACGACTACGACACACTATCTAAAGACCGGGTCTTCTTCTCCTCGACAGAGAAAGAGAGAAGGCCAACCAGATTTTGCGCGATTCTTCCCTTTTACTGGCTTGGTTGCCTGCCTGCCAAAAGTGATTACACGTGATTTCTTTTTGCTGCCTCCTGCTACATCACTTTGGAAACATTTCTCGGGTTGCCCACCTTTCTTCTTCTTTTCCTCCACTCCAATGCTGACTTAGCTGCTCGTTCTTCTTACTCCCCAGCTGGGTTCTTCACATACACATAAATATAACAAGCACACACAGACTGATTGCAGAGCTTCGCTCCGAAACCAGATCTTCTCGATTCCTTCTCCTCTTCCACTCGGCCGCGTATAGCACTCTCCGCTTTGAGTAACGATATCGATTATTTGAATTATTCTTTAGCACTCTGTACAGGTATTGAGGGAGATAATGGACTTATTTGATACTTTTCATCCCTCCAATCAGATATTTACAACAACGTCGAACACGCAGATGTTCGCACCAGCACTAATTTCCGATAATTCTTCTTCCAGCTCACACTGCCTTCCACTCGTTATGATTTCTATAATACAACTCCTTGCTTCTTATTCTTCTTCGTATGCTTCCTTGGCTCCACGAGTTGCTTCTGACTGCAATTAACACAAATCAAGAATACACACATTCAATTGAATGCTAATCAATCTAATCAATCATTTCCCCTTCCCCCTGTTTCCTTCTCACGCACATCACTCGTTAATCAGACAATTTGAATCCTTCGAAAAATCGCACTTTCTTCAATACATCCGCCACCAAAAGCTCGCGTCATCCCCTTCCGAAGGGAGCAATATCACTAAAAATGCCGAGAAATCCGAAAAAAAAAGAATACTGGATAAAAACTCATCGAACCGAAAACTGCCTCACTTCCCACTTCCAAGTACACACGACGATGATCTGCGTCAGCCAACCGACAGCGGACTGCCGGTACTCGGCAGATTTTTTCTTGCTTCTTTCCAGCGACCGACCACCATCATCTCACTCTAACCGTCCGTTCACGTCCCTCTGCTCGCATCAAAGCAGTCCACCCGTGCTCGGTGCGGTGCTGTGGACTGCTATGATGAGTTAAAGAAAAAAAAACTCGTTTCACATTTTTCCTCCTCGCTCCTCTTGCTCCTCCGCTACTCACAGCACGCTACTGCTGATTCTATTCTTCTTGCCCGGTCGACCTTTTCTTCATTAAAACAAAACTCCGCGCGCGCGTCCAGTGAGTACGAAAAATACGGAAAAAATATATGATTCGAAACGGAAATATTCGGAGACGACGGTCGGGTGCAGACAACTAAACGATTAACTAAACAATTAAGGGAAATAAATCCGATGAGTACGAGCGCGATTTCATATCATTGCCGGTGCTTCTGATTTGTCAGCGGTAAATATTCTTCAACACTGCTGTATTTGCGAATGTACGTATGTGTGTGCCAACCAAAGCCAGGTCGCGATTCAGTGTATGCTAAGATGCATTTGAGTAAGTCAGATGTAATCGAATGTATGTTTACATTCCGAATTTCTGGAAAGAGATAAGAAAAACGGAGGTAATTAGTAATGGGTCATCGAGCGGCAGTTCACGTTTATTATTGTGTATGTATTTGAATTGCTGTACTGGACGGTTTGTTGGACGTAGCACAAAAGGACGATGTTGCAAGTAAGCTATGTGTAGCTGAACGAGGGAGAAGAAGTCTTGGTTGATGCTGGATTAAATGTTTATTATTACAATTTACTCTGGGTGACCCTGATACAGATATCATAGTTCAGAAACTTTGTGTTTTGAACAAAAACAAATGCAGAGTAGTTTGTGCGTTAAAGTAGCCGCAAATCTTCGTCGAGATCATCAAATTGGTGGAGTCCGAGATAGCCCGAAGCCAACGCAACAATATTAAATAACGAAGGAAAAGAACGAAAAAGTTCAATTTGTATTGAGGTCCCCAACAACTGGGCCAAATATGAACGAATTTGGTTGCAGCTTTATTTGTGGGAGATGTTTAAACTTTATATGGGAAAATGTATGGTAAACGGAAAGGGTCAATTCAACTACATACCTCATCCTGTGTTGACAATCATCCATACAATTTTTAGGGACACTTGCCAACCCCTCGCCATAAAGAGCTTACGTGGTATACGAACAGCCTTCAAATCTGCTATTTATCAATTTTATCTAGATGAACGCGTCATTGGGAGATTATTAATGGATATTTTTGGTCGTTATTGAAAATTTAGTCGATTGCTGAATTTATGTATGGGCCCAAATTAGGGGCATTTAGGCCGACATTACATCCATTTCCACTATACTAATTTTAAAATTTTCCCCTCACATAAAGATCGCAACCAAATATGTCACGTAATTGATCTTCGTCACGTAACGCCCGGTAGAGTTTCCATTTCGTCTATGTTTTGCAAGTTAAGGTAAAAGTAACCTAGTGAGTAAATACAAATGTCAAAAATGGTTTTCTCTGAGATACCACAGGTTGCAAAAAGCTCTCGCCGATGTTTTCCTTTTATTATTTCGCACAAATCGACGAGAACTTTTTTCCTATTTTAAGTGGTATCTTAAAAGAAAACAATTTTTTTAATTTTTATTTACTGACTAGGTCACTTTCACCTTAAGAACCAGCATACGAAGTTCCCCTTATGCTCCATCATTCATGCAATTTCCGATTTCAAAGCTGTGGCTGTTTTGGAAGTACTTGAAGGGGTTTTCATGGGCTTTGAAAGGATCAAAGAAGAGCTTCAGATCGGCAAATGAGGAATAGGGGTGGATATATCGAACGGATCATAATTTCGATCAAACTTCCAATCCTGGAGCGCCGAAGGCAATCTTCGTAAGAAGAGCTAAGTGAGGAAAAGATTGCTTAAGAAATAGCTTGGAACGAAGAGGAAATTCGGGACAATTGTTAACAAGGAAAGCGAATTTTTAAACCGGTAGAACGAAAGACGAAAAGTGTACGAAGTTTTCGGAGTAGCCAGATGAGTGAAATATGATTGGAAGGGAAGCAGATTAAAGCTTCCGAGAGTCGGCGTTGAACTGATTGAGCTGATCATCTTCAATCAAAAGGTCAAATAATTCACAGGTTTCTGCGTCTGCTTTCTTCGACCCTTTTGTGAGGGATCAGAGGTGAAATCAATTAACAGCCATCAACCACGGCCGTTGGAGTCTTACTCATATTTGATTTCCGTTTACTCATTTTTGCAAAAAATACGGTCACTCACTAAAATTATCCATTAATATAAGTAAACGTCACTCATATACGAGCATAAATCGAATAGCTCGAATATGAGGAACATCGAAGAATCTTTTACTGAATCTATGAGTAGCCGTGTTTTTTTTTTACGAAAATGGGAAACCAAGGCCTTCCGTAACTTCGAATATGTTATATATCTCGTGAACCTGGTCTTCTAGGAAGTTTCTGCCTTCTTCGGGAAAGTTGTGCAGATGATCTAGGCGTTCCGGATGTTGAATAACGTAGTTCAACATTTTCTTAAAATTCGAAGAATGTTATTTTCGAGATGATTAAATCCATAACATCCATGACGTCATGATTTTGAAATCGCAGACTTTACTGAGTCGCTTCATTCGTTTTGTTTTAAGCTTCGATGAAGCGGACGAATGAAAGAGTGCTTGACTTGATAGAAAATTACACGTAATATGATTAATTTATCTTCCATTCACATATTTATCTAAAAAAAAAACAACGGAAATGGGACATAACGCATATTAAACAAACTGACACAGCAGGTGACAGTGTCAGCGAAAGGGATTGAAAGGCATAATGAGACTTCGTTTCAACTCGAAAATCGACGTTACTTTCACTGAAAGGGGTGAGCAAAGCAACGGCGAAAAAATCCACAGCCATTCTTTCGTTCTGAGCGAGTTTCTTTTTCGTTTTCGTTTCGTGCTATACACGTTGTGTGAAAGAAACAATACTCGAGTTCCTTTTAGAGCTTCGAAAATGTAGAGACCTGATTCTGATCCTTCAGTTGATAACACATTTCATTATGGGGTTTTCCAAGGTTATGGGTCTAGATTCAAAATTCTAAGCGAAATATTCGAGAAATCGGACTTTGAATATTTATTAACGAAAATTATGGTTTTATGGAAGGTTGTTTCCGATTACCGGTTCAGTCGCCACCCTGAATTTTCAAATAATTCTGCCAAGAATACCTGGAAATTTTGGGTAGAATTTGAAAGGAATTGTGTTAATTCCAAAGAAGTGCTGACGAGGATTGTTTAAAACATATGGGAAAAATTCTAAGGGAGTTCTGACCAGAATTTCAAGACAATTTCGAGATAAAGTCCTAAGAAATCCTTAAACGAAGAAATTACTTGTGATAAAATTTTTACAGCAATGCTGAGAAAAATAGCAGATGAATTTTAAGGAGAATTTTAAGATAATTATGAACCGAAATTAAAGGGTGTTCTGAGCAACACTTCCAACGAAAAGAACTTCGTGTGTATTTTGAGAAACATATCAAAGATATTGTACTCTGAAGAACAACTTGGAGGACAATATAAAATAAATACTTGGAAAACCTATGAAAATTCAGATTTTCCGAAGGGTTTTCGGAGGAGAGTTTCCAGCTCTCAAACAATTTTGAAAAGAATTCCAAGAGATAGTTGCAAAAGAATGTTCAGACAGATCCCAAGGAAATGCTAAGGAAAGTTTCAAAGTAATAAGTAGAATTCCATAACTATTTTGATATGCTATATTGATTTTTTTGAAACGTCATTTTGCAATGCAGAACACTACTAAACAAAAACCTCAAAATGTGTTATTACAATTGTTATAGTATCTTGTAAGCAGCTTATAACGGGTTACAACTCCCTTGTTTGAACATGGCAACTAAATTTTCTTTTTAGAATTCCCGGTTTTTCGCGGTTTTCCCGCTTCAAATCTCAAAATTTTCCCGATTATTAACATTCAATGAAAACGAATGTGGGCAACGATTTTCTTCCTAAGCATGACCAAGTGCAAATTGTTGTGGTGGTGTGAGAAGATTACTGTAAGTTTCAGAATTATAGCGATTTTTTTAAAACTGAAAGTTTGAATAACTGAACGATTAAACCGTAATACAATTTTGAAAAAACAACTCATGTTAAAAAATCATAAATGTATTGTGTTTAAAAATCATAAATGTTAATGTTATTATACATGAGTAAACTTTGAAAACAATTTGAAATATTGCTGAAAATATTCGTAACCATATCCTTAAAAAATAACACACATACAAAACATGGGCTAAGATTCGATGACGATATTTTGGAGAAAATTTTAAGTAAATATTTTAAGGCAAAGGCAGAAAGGCTCTTAGGAAATTCTGATACATAAATCTAGATAGAGCTGGAATTAGGGCCTAACAGCTTTTGTAAACAATTACTTCTCTTGATGATTTCTTGAAATTCAAGGCTTGCCCACGCAAACCAACATCCACATCGGGTAGGGAGAATTTCCCTATCCGATGGTTATGTTGGTCTGCGTGGGAGTGCCTTGAATTCCTAGAAATCATCGATAGAAATCATTGTTTACAAAAGCTGTTACGCCCTAATTCCAGCTCTATCTAGAAATGCTCAAATAAGCCATTTGAATAATTCGATTATTCC